TAAGTGTCAAAATTGCGGGAAGGTAGGGCATTATGCCAAGGATTGCTCTACCCAACCAACTCCAAAAAACTGCTAAACTCTTCTAATGGAGGTGTAGAAGAGTTTACCAAAAATCCTCTCTATAAGGTTCAAGGCTGCGACGCCAAGCGAAGTGGGCCCTTGGAAATTATAGCAGAGATTGGAGGTGTTCAAAGGCGAGTGGTCATAGATACAGGCGCAGAAATAAATGTAATTGCCAGAGATTTTGTATGGCAAAACGCCTGGAAAAAATTGGTAGAAGAACAAAAAGAAGAAATCCTAGGTATATCGAATCAAGTCATCATAGCAGACGGAAAATTGGTATTGGATGTAACAATCGACGGAGCAACTATCCCAGTCGAATTCCTAGTTGTACCAATCACCAACGTATATGCCATTTTAGGCATCGAATTTATTCGAAAATATGATGTTCAATTAATTTTTAAATCTGATGACAGTCAGATGAAATGGCGCCCTAACAAAGATAAAAAATTGCGAAAGGTTCCATTAATTATAAATACCCAAGCTCCCCAACTCTCTATCCGGAAAAAAGTAAATTTTATACATTTACTAAAAACACCAAATGGACAAGCAAACATCCAAACGAAACGCAAGGCAACGAAAACGACAAAACAAACGACTCAGAGAAAATTCGTCCAATCAAAAGAATCGTTCCGACCCTCCGGTGCAAGGGGAACGTCTAATGACATACCCCGCACCAATCCATCCTTTCGATCCCGATTGGCATTATCCAGATTGTGCTGCTCCCGTTGGCGAAGATAATGATTGCCGACATTGTATACCTTTTAGAATATTGGATTACGATATTCAAGAGGCATTGGAGCAATTAAGAAAAGAAAAGCACGATAAACATTATAATGGATTTAGTGCCAAAAAAGCGCGAAAAATCTCTTGGGATGAACTCGAAGACGAATATTATAACCCTGGGTCAGAAATTCGAAATAAAAGTCGTTATAAAGAATTGCGAGATAAAATGAACAAAAAAAATAAGAGAACGGGTAGAAGCTGTGGATAATTATTTCGCTAGAAAAAATGGCGAACTAATGGACCTCGACAAAGAAGAAAAGGTTGTCGACTCAATGGATGTAGACCCTAAACCGACTAATTCCATAATTGTCCAAAATAACGGAGTTCAAGTAACTCTGGAATGGGACGATAAAGGAATTAAATTTGAAGGCAATGAACATCCATGGTTTATGATCAAATACTGGCAAAATAAAATCAAGAGAAAAACTAAGAGTCCTATAAGAATTCGTTCTTGGCAAGGACCTTATGCTTCTTGCTGGTGTATCTTAGAGGATAAGTCTCATAAAAACCTCGACGATAACCAAGAATGCAATAGATGTGAGTACTGGATCTCAGTCTTACACTATATTTCTAAATTGCCAGAAGAAGTGACTAAACCGTTAACAGAAGCTCATATAATACATCCATGGTATAAACC